AAATAGGATTGGTGACAGGGATATAGCAGTCAAAATCCATGTTAGACTTATTGCTCTTAGCGACTTCAAAATATGATCTATGTTTGATGTGTCAGGTGTATGCCTTGTGTAAACTAAGCTACTTTAATTACAGACAAAGCCTTTAAACTTGAAAAAAAAATAAAAAAATCTAAAAAATGCTGCAGTACTTTGACACTCATAGCAAGTGACATAAACATATGATCACTAGCACATATGAGGGTGCACATCAAGATTTAACTAAGTGTAATCTTCACATATATTTTGTTCCAAAATGGCAACATGGTGATACTATTAATAAATTGTGCAAATACTGTATAATACATGTATCACGAAAGAGGCCAATTTAATTCAAAAGTCATCTATAAATAATATTACCTAAATGCTGTAAAATTATAAATACTAACATCAACTGTCTCTGCTAATATGTCAATATGAAAATAACAATCTAAGGATGTATAATATTTTCATACAAGACAATAAACAAGTAATGTATTTGTACCAAATAAAACCACTACCATGCCATACAAAAGTAACCAAATTAGCTCTTTAGTGCATGGATAATTTGGACCACTAAAATTCCTAATAAACGCCCCTCCCCTAATAAAGGGCCCCCCAGGCCTTTTGATAAGGAAAACAATCTACTCACAGGCCTCAACATTAGCGGTGGTCCATTGGTCCGAAACCACCTGATTTTGGCAAGGACCACCTAATTTTACAGGCAACTGGTCCGTTAGACCACTTGAATTTTCCAAATGGTGCAGGGCTGATCTGGGAGAATGGTTATTTGGTCGAAAAACGTGTTCTATAATTGTTGTTTAAAACCATTTCTCCGATGTACAGGTATATGTTAATTCATCTCGATCTTAAGACATCCATAACTTTTTATTAACTCGCTAACAGTGTAGTTAAAAAAGTAGAAAATTATTTTAATAATTAAAGTATAAAATTCATTCAAATGTCTCTAGTACTGCATTTAATTTATAACATTGTATCACTATGGGATATCGGATAAACACACAAAGAATGGTATAAACAAAGGCAAAGGAAAAATTAAATATCTAGTAATCTTTGGCTACTTTTTTAAACGATCAGAGATCCATTTTTTTCTTATTTAAAGTACTTTAAAAGGTTATAAATACTTTGTCAAAAATAAATAAATTTCAACAAACAAGCATGTATAATAAATATGTGAGGAAGATAAGCTCAATTATAATGTAGGAATTTTTCTGTTTATTATTAATATTTCATTGTTTCAAATACAAGAATTATATAATAACTTAATAGTTTAATTAAAAATGTTAATCTATAAAAAGCAATTCTTATTCTTATAAGATGTACCAGGAAACAGCAATGAGTATTTGAATAACAGTAAGTAAATAAGTCATTCATAAATGGTTTCACTATTCCCTAACTTGAGTTGCGGAAGAAGTTACTTAACCGAAGTATGAGTACTGTCATGTATTTTTCAATGAGATAATAAATACTAAATAGGATTACAATGACTTACTATCTGATTAGATTGAAATAGAAACTAGAAATGAAATGTGTCCATAGGACACAGATGCCCTCACACGCCACTGTTCTATATCAAATATATAGTCAAATATTTTTTGGACTACATGTGCCACAAGTTGAAAACTAAAAATCAACAAAGGGCCATAATTCTGTTAAATTTGGTTGCAGCAAAAATTCCTTCCTTTACTGCCATCTTCACATTAAGGTTGTTCATCCCTGGAAGTTTAAGCAAAATCTGCCATCCGGTTTAAGAGGAGTTGCATTCACAAAATTTCTACAAAGTATATAGTGAAAAAATCAACAATGGGCCATAATTCTGTTAAATTTGGTTGCAGCGAAAATTCCTTCCTTTACTGCCATCTACACATTAAGGTTGTTCATCCCTTGAAGTTTAAGCAAAATCTGCCATCCGGTTTAAGAGGAGTTGCATTCAAAAAATTTCTACATAGTATGTAGTGAAAAAATCAACAAAGGGCCATAATTCTGTTAAATTTGGTCGCAGCAAAAATTCCTTCCTTTACTACCATCTACACATTAAGGTTGTTCATCCCTGGAAGTTTAAGCAAAATCTGCCATCCGGTTTAAGAGGAGTTGCGTTCACAAAATTTCTACAGAGTATCTAGTGAAAAAATCAACAAGGGCCATAATTCTGTTAAATTTGGTCGCAGCAAAAATTACTTTCTTTACTACCATCTAGACATTAAGGTTGTTCATCCCTGTAAGTTTAAGCAAAATCTGCCATCCTGTTTAAGAGGAGTTGCGTTCACAAAATTTCTACATAGTATATAGTGAAAAAATCAACAAAGGGCCATAATTCTGTTAAATTTGGTCGCAGCAAAAATTCCTTTCTTTACTGCCATCTACACATTAAGGTTGTTCATCCCTGTAAGTTTAAGCAAAATCTGCCATCCAGTTTAAGAGGAGTTGCGTTCACAAAATTTCTACAGAGTATCTAGTGAAAAAATCAACAAAGGGCCATAATTCTGTTAAATTTGGTCGCAGCGAAAATTCCTTTCTTTACTCCCATCTACACATTAAGGTTTTTCATCCCTGTAAGTTTAAGCAAAATCTGCCATCCGGTTTAAGAGAAGTTGCGTTCACAAGATTTCGGGACATACGGACGGACTCAGACGGACGGACCGACGGACGGACAAGTGCAACGCTATAGGCTCCCACATTGTGGGGGCATAAAAATACATGTTTTCTTCATTTGTTATAAATCTAATAATAAATATGTCTCTGTCACCAATTTTAAGTGTAGTTCTTCTAAATCTGAAGTTTCCTTAAAAACAAATGAGTGAAAAACATGATAGACCACCTGTGTTCAGAAAGGACCATCTGAATTTTGGATCCAGTGGTCCGGCATACCACCTGCTGAAAAAGTTAGTGTCAAGACCTGACTCATCAGTGCTGAACTCATAATTAAAGCTATAATTTTATTCAAATCATTCAGAATCCATTTTATTTTATAGTAAACACAAATATGTATAATATGAACTTTAAAACCTTAACACTTTTTAATGTTATTACCAACACTTGCTAACACTAAATGTATTTACAGTGATTTTTGGATTTAGGAAAAACTGTGTTGTAATAATAGCCCCCCTTTTGGAAAATGTTTAGCCCCCCGGGGCATTTAATAGGAATTTTACGGTACGTGTTTTCTTTAATTTAAACAATAGGTAAGTGCAATACGAAAAATAACCGTAATTTAGATTTCATGAACAAGAAGCTCACAAAATATCATATATTTTGTAGTGGCCAATTAGAAATTTGTTAAGTGTACATGTTGATATTAGATATATGTAAGAATATACATGTATAATATAATTAGGATAAAACATTTGTGATACATTTTGACAATGTAACATATTTCTCATTTATCATTGTAATGAGATGATATATTTACATTGAGCCCAATAAAATCTTTTCTGTTCTATAAATATAATCCCCTCCAGCCTTCATGGCATAAAAATAAACAAACTATTGGGTGCAATTAGATTTCATCATAAATGTACATATAAAGTTAAAAGCAATAGAAAATACATATTAAGTAAATTGGCTGTAAAATATTTTTAGTGATTGAACTAATTTATTAATTCACAGGTAAACTATTAACTTCTATGTATGTCATATCATATAAGACGTGCAAAAAAAATGCAATTGCTTTCCAGCCTTTCCTATAAAAAGCACACAAATATTATGTTTTAAAACTGCATGCCTTCAGTTTTTTAGTATTTATCACTATATTTCAACAGTATTACTGATACACTAAGGTATTTTGCATATTTTGGTAATTTATGTGTCTGGGCTACATGTAATTTTGCACATTTTTGTCTGTTTTTGATAATTTATGTTGATTTCAATGTGTAAATTCATATCTAAATAGTTTACTTTTAAATACATTTCCAAAATTTTCAAGAAAATTGAAGATATCTGGAGGCATGCTGCTGTAAGTTAGTTTTACAATATACTACTGTGCCCACTCTTACAGCAATTCACAGAACATGATATAATAATGTTTATAAGAATATAGCAGTAGTATAATTATTCTAATGATTAACACACAAAATTGTTAGAATTTACATAAAAGTACAGAATACCTTTCTCAGAAGATATCATTAAGACATTGCAATAATTATATCAACACAATGTTATAATTATATATATAAGATATAACACATGAACATGAAAATATAAACAAGAGCTTCTGCCAAGCAGGGGGCATATGTTTGATTTTTTCTTATTTTAAAGGCAAAGAGGTCAGTGGAAAAATATTGTAGTAAAGAAACAAAATTTTCTTCCACAAAATATAATTCAATATTTCATATTTGACCTTGATGTCAATGTCCTTAAAAGTAAATGCCAGCAATATGAACAACTAGACTTTCCACTTATAATTCCTGTAAAGTGTGGATGATATTGCATCAGTAGTCACGACAAGCTTCTATGAAGTTTGCAACACACAAAAAAAATTTATTCAAGGACCAAGCCCAAAATCATTGAACTTGATTTTTATACTTAACAACAGAAGGTGTCAAGTGCTGTGCGGCAGCTGTAAAAAGTTGCCCCGTACTTCACTTCAGTGTTGTTATATTTTTCTGGTCATTCAGAATCATTGATGCAAGCACTATTAAGTGTTGAGAATTGAGTACCGCTCAAGCAGGTGCTATGGGGCATGAGGGATGTTGCACTTATTCATTAACCCTAATGTACAGACTCAATCAAACAGAGTCTGCAATTTTCATGTAATTTTGTTGTGATTAATGCTTCTGAGAGATCACTTTGTTTCCAAATTTCTAAGAAAAAGAACGATCCAGTACTACCTTGATCTTTATCAAAGAAAGGGATGTTTAATTTTTATTAATACATGTATCTAATTAATTACACATATTAGTTACTCTTTTAAAACTAAAATACACACAGTTTAATTTAATTTCAGTAGTGTCTTGTATGTTTGTATGTTGATAATGCCTGGAATATTTCAACAGCCTAGCTCTGTATGCCAGTTTTAAAACTGTGGAAGCAGCAGCTGCTACAGTATCCATTTCTGTACATTTTTAATGCTGCCACCAAGACAGATGTTTTACCTCATACAAAAAAAGTTTTCTGGCATGATTAATGTTCCATTTGATAAAGATTAACAAAATTATGTAACTTGTGTGCAAAGTGTTAGATCATTTGCTCACACCCTTTTTCCAGAAAAAATTATTCAATGACCCAAAAAAAATGAAAACTGAAAAGTGTTTTCACTCAAATTGAACCAAGAAGCTCAAAAATATGATGTTAATAGATTTCTGAGTAAATTCATTAATTATCTTTTGCACATCTTTCTGATTTAACTGTTGCCATTGATCTATGTAAGAAATTAAAATTTTATATTTTCAGGCTTTTAAGCCTGAGTGGAGTTCCTTTAAATGATGATATATCAAATTCCTGTGGCATAACATATTTCCAATTAAATTTATCCAAGTTCATTTTAAATCTATGGCATTGTCTAATTTGCACAGAAAACCTTTAATAAGAAATAACAGCAACAGGTGCTTGAAGCAGAAATATAAATATGTGAATCTCTCCTTAATTTTCTTCAATGAAAAATTGATCAAGGAATGGGAATTCCTTCTTATATAATTCATCTTTGCAAAACTCATTGTTTTCTTTCATTTGTTGATCAGTTAATTCTCTCATATATATCAGGGAGTCCATTATCTTTGAAAACCTTGCCATTCCCGTGCCCTTTCTACTACTTTTCTCTATATGCTTCTGAAGTAATACAGTTAAAGATAACTGCACTTTTTCAACCTGAGCCCGATTTTGTAGTTTGCAACGATCAGGGGATACCAACAACAAAGCCATTATCAGTGCTTTTTCTTCTGTTGTAAAATCCAATGACTGCAGACGACAATAAACATTTTTTGATAACACAACAAGCTTTTCTGAGTACTCCCGTCCTGAAATCTCTTCAACATGGTAGCCACGTCCATTCTTCGTTAAAAACGTCTGATATTCGTCACTATAGCCGTCAATCATAACAACAGTGAAAAAATCGATCATTAATGTATTCAACAATGAGACCTGGTCTTGTACGGAAAAACTATGGAATTCCGGTATATGTCTTGCAAAGTTACATAATCGAACAAGGTCACTTTCAATATCTTCACAATCTAACTTCATATCTGCCATCCTTCCGTCTATGTCAATACCATATTTTAAGTACAGCTCATTATACTCCTCTTTAGATACATTTTTCAGTTTACCAAAGACTTCTATTTTCTGTCTATACCTATCTGACTGTGCTTTATGTGCCTGCTTTATTTGCTCTTTTGTTTTAATATTTGGACCATATAGTTCAAATGTATCAAGACATTTAACTAATTCAACCACCAACGCATCATTGAAGCCGTGAGATGTGTTAAAGGATCTCGGATTTTTTTCTATATAACTTAACAAAAAGTGAGTTTCTTCATGGATACTTCCAGGTTCTATAACATTTTCAACAGTCGTACTGTCTTTGTCTTTTTTTGATGAATTATCAGATTGTTTACCATCACGTATGTTCATGTTGACTATGGCTTCTGTCCTTTTTGTAAGAGTATACCTTCCCATTTTTGACTTTTCTTTAGACATACCAAGATCAAGGCACTTTTTGAGACGACATCCAGAACAAATGCCCTTTTTATTACTTATGATATCACATTTTCCCCCTTTAGTACATTTAAAGTTTGTTTTCTTTTGGAGATGGCGTCTGAAGAATCCTTTACAGGCCTCGCAAGTTATCGCCCCATAGTGTGATCCAGTTGCCTTCCCACTACAAATTTCACATGGTGGGAATTGTAATAAGCCACATGATTTAAGTTTCTTATCCTTTGAATTACGGACAGGAATTTCTTTTTGTATGTTTTCTACCTTTTTTGAAATTGGCTCTTCTGTTTCTTCAGTAACTTCTTTCGCAAAACTTGACTTACTAGATGAACTGCATATACTTCTATTGTCCTTTTCTTTTTCCAAAGGTTTACTTTTTTCACATTTTTGTTTTAAGACCGACTCGACACTTTGTGAATTGTGTATGAATTGTGGGATTGCAGCATTATTTGTTTGCTCTCTCAAAGTATCGGCAGACGTCTGTGATGTTGTCAATTCTAAATCTGCCTGACAGGTTAGTATACTCGAGATTTCTGATACATCAATAGGGAAGTATGATTCTTCATTTTTACTGTCTAATATCAATGTTTGCTCGTGTTCTGACCCGGAAGTTAACAAGCTTTCTGGTGTTGAAGGTAAGACAAAGTCAAAATTATCAAGACAATCATAATATCCTTCTCCATCATTCTCATCCTCGATTAGAGTTTGTAAACTCGGTATTATATTTTGTTTTCCAAACTGAGTACTTTCATTGTTCCAAAAGAGACCTTGCTCAAAAAATTGGTCTAATGACATATTTCCATCATCCATTTTCTTCTCTACAAATAAAAACACTTCAAATCATAGCATTGAAAAGGAATGTGGATTTCACCAACTGCGATGATGTTATTCTTTATTCTGAAATTATAAACAATAAAATTTAATTAATATATACATGTATATATAGTCAAAAATATAATACAAATCAATAAAGCGTTCAACAATATATTGATTATCTTTCGAAAGAGTAATAACCATACAATATGATCAATATGATCTATCCACCTATGAAGTTTCATGTTGACATCTCGAAGAATTTTTGAATTATGCTCCACTCAGGAAATAAGTAAGTATGAAATATCACAAAGGGCAGTAACACAAAAATTATGAAGGGTAGAGTTATTCTTGTGCACTGAACACCTCCTGAGTGAGATCTATCCACCTATGAAGTTTCATGTTGATTTGTTAAAGGCTATTTTAGTTATGCTTTGGACAAAAATTAAGTATGAAAAATAACAAAGGGCAATAACTGGAAAATAATGCAGGGTAGGTTATCATTCTTGTGTGCTGCATTCCTTCTCAATAAGATCTATCCACCTATGAAGTTTCAAGTTGATACCTCTAACACTTTTTGAGATAAGCTCTGGACAAAAAGTATGAAAAATAACAAAGGGCAATAACTAAAAAATTATAAAGGGTAGAGTTATCATTCTTGCGCACTGCATTCCTTCTCAATAAGATCTATCCACCTATGAAGTTTCATGTTGACTGACAGAAGGACAGACGGAGACTATTTCTATATCCCCGCCGCCTTTTCGACGGAGGATTAAAAAAAAGAGCATTCAAAGAGTCTTAACACAAAGTCAAGCATGCCTGCACAATTTGATCGAACACCAATACATTTGTAGTTAATATTGTGGCTGCTCAGTCTTACTTTTTCAAATAGAAATACATGTACTCTCAACTCTGCAAATGTCTATTTTACAGATCAACTGTGAATGGCAGTGCATCTTGAATCTTTAACAGTAAAAGTTTTTTTGTTCTTGAGGTTTAAATAGGAAAAACCCACACTTGCCAAGTTCCAAATAAAATCTACACTTAATCCCTGATTGTTATGAAGTCAAATCAGTGCAAGTCCATTGTTAAAGTGTTACATAAATACATGTATATAAGTATGTACATGTATATAAATGACTTATTCACATGCATGAGTTAAAAACATTCTGAATAAGCAGATTATATATTGTATTTAACTTCAAGTGGGGAAAATATTGCTTTGCGGTTAAAACTAGATCACTGACTATTATATAGCTTTTTACTTTGGGATAATTATACATGTATGTGATATTTATGTTGAGTCTTTATTTTGTTTCTCTCTACATTAGTTGTACATTTAAGATCTGCTTTCTTTGTGTTTTGATTATGTATTGTAACCGGACAAGGAGCTATTCTGTTCTGTTCTGTTAAAATCAAGTTACATGATTTATAACACTGTTCCCGATAAACTCAGCTTATTAGTTTAAACATAGTTTATTTTGAACAAATTCACAGTATATATACAGATAATACTGTACAGAATACAAATATGAATTGTTGAAAAAGGATTGGGTCCGAAAGCTGAGCTTATAATTTTAAAGGCCTTCCTTATAGATTTACAGTGCATAAAATACGGTATGACAGTATACATGAATTGCTTGACTCAGCTTATTGTGTAGGAGGGTGTTAAATATCCCTTTAACTTTCTAAAAATTCAGTAATTTCTGCATTTTGTATTGATTTCATGGTATAAACATGTCAAAACACATTTTATTCCAACTATTAAATAACTGATGATTGATTTTTACATGTATTACAAAACAAATAAAACTTGGTGGATATAACTTTTTCAATAGTCTAAATATAGGTATTACATAATTCATTATGGCATTTCACTTCATGTTGTTTGTCATGTAAAAGCCATTATTAATCCTAATTCTGATAAACCATCAAATCATGTTATCGCATGGTTTGGAACTTTTCCTTTGTTCTGACTAACCCATTATACTCTGTACACTTCAATGAGCATTTGAAAACTGTATTGATATATAACAGAACAGTTTTTTCATTGCTACATATTGGAAAAAAACTTGACTGATATATTACGGTTGAGTTTTTTTCGCACCTTGTATATATCAATGTAGTTTTTTTCACAGAGGCTCCAATGGGGCAGTGGTAACGAACATTCCCAGTAGCAAAAAAAAAATGGAATCAATAAAATAAAATAAAATAAATTAATAAATACAATGAAAAATATAAACAAAGATAATTAATGAAATGAAATTTACTCTCATTTAATCAAAAGGTACATCCGCTGAATGAATTATTTTTCCACTGAAAAAGCCCTTTAATCTTAAATCAATATTGGTAACAGTTTACAATCCGCCTCTGACATGGGATATCTCTTTTTTTTGCGGCAGCGAAAACAACTTGAAAAAACTGCCTTACCATGAATAACTTAATGTAGCTAACGATTTATTTATTTATTTCTATTACCAAACTAGAACTATCACAAAATGTGATTAATACCCCCACAAGACTGCTTCGGAAACGAGGATGTTACTAGTTTGTTTGTTTGGGTTTTACGTCACACCGACACAGTATAGGTCATTTGGCGACGTTCCAGCTTTACTGGTGGAGGAAGACCTCATGCACCCTTCCGTGCATTATTTCAGGCACGAACGGGCACCTGAGTAGAACCACCGACGTTCCGTAAGCTAACTGGATAGCTTCCTCACATGAAAGAATCCAAAGTCCCTGTCCGGATTCGAACCCACAGCAGTGAGGGGCAAGTGGTTTGAAGTCAACGACCTTAACCACTCTTCAACGGACGCCCCATGTTACTAGTAACAGAATACCTTGTAAAAGAATTGAAATATAGAGTTATGGTTGTGGGCAATAAAAGATAGTTGTGGTTCTTGTATGTTGCATTTCCTTTCAATGTGGTTGGCCATTGATGAAGTTTAATTGAATTACTCTGTAATAACAAAGAAAAGGAACAAAGGGCAATAACTCTATAAATACTGAAGATAGAGTTATAGTTCTTGTGCACTGCACTTCCTCTAATTGTGCTTGACCATTGTATGAAGTTGTTTTGAATTCCAACCAGTATGTTTTAAGTTATGCTCCTGACAAGGAAAAGTATCAAAGGGCAGTAACCCTGTATTTTGTCAAAATAGAGTTATGGCTCTTGTGCACTGCACTTCCTTTTAATGTCCTTGACAACTGTATGAAGTTGTATTGAATTCCAAACAGTAGTTTTCAAGTTATGCTCTGGACAAGGAAATGTAACAAAGGGCAATAACTCTGTAATTAGTCAAGATGGAGTTATGGTTCTTGTGCATTGCACTTCCTCTCAATGTGCTTGACCATTGTATGAAGCTATATTGAATTCCAACAATTATTCTTCAACTTATGGTCCGCACAAAAAAAAAGCAACGGAAAAGTAACAAAGGGCAATAACTCTGTAATTACTTTAGATAGAGTTATGGTTCTTGTGCACTGCACTTCCCCTTATTGTGTTTGACAATTGTATGAAGTTGTTTTGAATTCCAACCAGTAGTTTTCAAGTTATGCCCCGGACAAGGAAAAGTAACAAAGGGCAATAACTCTGTAATTAGTCAAGATAGAGTTATGGTTCTTATGCACTGCACTTCCTCTCAATGTGCTTGACCATTGTATGTAAATATATTGAATTCCAACCATTAGTCTTTAAGTTATGGTACGGACAAAAAAATCAATGGAAAAGAAAACATTATGCCATTGCAATAAAACAGTTATAGTATATGAAACTCGTTAGTTACGGGGGTATAACACTGGCTGGGGCAACATCTCGGGATGTTTCTGCAAAAATAAAATTGTCTCGGCCTAACGGCCTCGACATTTTTTTAGCAGAGACACCCCTTGATGTTGCCCCAGCCAGTGTTATTATCTCGTAACTTACTCGTTTCATGTACTATAACTATTACTTAAACAATGGAGAATATGGCAATGATAACTCTCTGTCATTCCCTCTATAAAGTGCACCTTACAGATTAAATAAAATCCTTATACATATTTATATTTCTCTGTTTCTTGTGTTCTTAAGTTTGAATGAAAGTTTAGTGGTGAATAGGTGTATCAAAAATTATTATTACAAATAACCATTGATCACAATTATTTCTATTGTCAGTTCATTTCTTGTTTTCCCTTAAAATAAAATTAAACACTAACTTCTGTGAGTTGTTAGAGGGAAAAGAGGAATAGCTTCAGGAAGTTAGAGAAATAACACAATTTTCTATGTAAAATTATAAACAAGATTGCTTTTGTGAAAAATGCTATGCCACCGCATTAATACAACACTAAATAGTAGTGTAGGAACAGAAGATTTTTTGTTTGTTTGTATACAATTGACCTTTGCCATAATGCAGTTGAGTCTACTGAGTTTGATGGTCAAGGTCATAATTATTTCTGCGTGTGAAATGATAGGCAATGTGCAGATGTGTCTAATGATACAAGGCTATAGTGCAATAATTGATTCAAAATAAAAGTATCTGTACTTGACAAAGATGAAGCTGTATAACAGTATTAAACTTTGAAATACAGTTACGGTTTGTTTTGTTTTCAATTAAGCGTTACCTATTTCTACATACATAAAAATCATTTATCATTTAAAATCATCATTTATATATACGTCGTGTAAATCATAATGCTAAAATTGTTTCATAGCTAACATCTCTCGTGCTAGAGGTCATGACCTCAAATCATTCCATAGATTGCTAGAGGTCATGACTTTTACACTTAACTCCCAGCTATTCAATCTTTTTATAGAAAAATTGAGTAACATGAACACATATATAAAAGACATCCCAATATGAGTTGTTTCCTTTCATTTGCAGAAAACCAATAATCTCCTGGTGCAGGGCCAACTTTGACCCCAAAACTATAATTTGAACAAGGGGGGACATTGGCCCGAAGCGATCACCTGAGGACAGACAGTTATTTGTGTAAAAGCATTGAAATAAAATAATTTGAACAATGTTGGTCCATACTTCATACAAAATATATATTTTCATTATACTATCATGCATTGTCCTCATTTCATAGCTGTACATAAAAAACAAGACAGTAGGTCATTAGGTCAATATCTAGGTCAATTGATATCAAATTTCAGTTCTACATATGAAATTGTGCACATGGTCAAAATGTCATAGCTGTATATAAAAGAGCCAAAGGACTTCACTTCATCATAGTTTTTATCATAGTTTAGATACCAAAGTTCAATTTTACATATAAAACTTAGTTCTGGCTTCCAAAACTTTATAAGCCACTTTTTAACATTTTTGTTTTTCTGCATCTGATGTGGCATTAAAGTTTTGGATTAGACCTGTTACAAAACCTAACCAGAATAACATATGTTGATTTAACATAATTTTCATTTGCAAATACACTTGCCCCAATTAATTCTTGTGCATTTTGCGATAAAACAATTATTTTGATATTATTCTAATTTCTATACCATTTAAAGTATCAAAATATTAATACCCTCAATAACATTGCCTATTTAACTGTGAAACATCAATTATGCCGACTACAGTCGGCCATGACATTTAGGAGCTACGCAAGACCTGGTATGACGTAATTTGCAGGAACCGAGTAGAGTAAAGTCGGGTACTATATTTAGTACATCTCTGTTGACATGATTTAAATTTTTAAAATTCAAGATAATGTTTTATTTATTTTCTTTAATTTTTCAGTACTTAAATAAAATAACATTGAATACAAAAGTCAGTAAATCACCTTTTTCAATATCTTTAAAAAAGTAATTTATAAAAAAGTTTTCTTAACCGTCTGCGCAAATTAACCCGTAAAGGTCAATCTCATAATCACATGGTCAAACATTTTGGCAATATGGCAGCCAAATGCTGAATATTTTACCTGTCAGAAACTATTGGGTAGTTTATGTTCGTAATAAGTTTTTTATGAGGCCATCCTTGTCTCATCAACAGATTATAATTATATAGATTTATCAAAGTATTTTTCACTTTACTTCATGGCATGATCGATAAATGAATACGAGCGTGTCAGATTCCTGGCAAGTTTATTGGTGGACTTCTCTATGGGTCTTTCTTCAGCGTTCATGGCATAGTATATAAATGGGTACGCTGAAGACCTTAAGCTATATAAAACTGTCCACATGGTTTAAATTTCATACATGTAGCTATACATCAAAGGACAAGAAAGTAGGACACTTCATCAAAACCTAGGTGATATCAAAATTCAATTTCTAAAACTGTGCACACGGTCCAAATTTCAAAGCTGTACATTAAAGGACAAGGAAGTAGGTCACTTGTCAAAATCTAGGTCAGCTGATATTAAAAATTAATTTTACCCCTCAATCTATTGTAACAGTCCACATGGTCTACATTTCATGGCTGAATATCAAAGAACAAGAAAGTAGGTCACTGTGTCTCCTTTGAAATTGGCAGGACAAGGAAAACTTGTGTTTGTATTTCTAAGACACTTTTTGGTTTTAACTTTTTGGCCGTAAAAATGGGCAAAGTCCTTACAGCGCATTCTCACCTCCTCCGTGTCGTACACCAACCATTTATGGACCTGTTTCCATTTTTCATAAAATTTTCTCTCAGGTCTCTTCTTTTCTTCCTTTTACTGCTGTTCTACATGCTCCTCTGATGTAGATTTTTCATTTTTTCCCAGGTTTGGTACCTTTATCGACGCCATACATGCTACTTGGTTAAAAGCCGGAGACAGTCAGACTGATCATGAATAAAGAACCATCGGACCTAATCAAAATTTATCAGACATGTCCGTCGGACCGACGTATTTGGGAAGTCTGACTCTGAGAGCTGCTGCTCCCGGAAGAGGTGCTTTTCCTTTATATTGTTGACTGCGATATTAAAAGATCGAAAAAATGGGTCCTAGAGAAGATATACGACAAAAGACGGCATGAGAAGACCTCAGTTGCAGTTCTATGATCAGCGATGTTGACGGCGAACTATTACTAAGTCCTCCATTGCAGGCTCTACGCCCAGCAACGTAAGTCTGGGACATATGGCAAAGCCTGCACCCTGTATAAACAAAACTAGACACACTAACCATATGATTTATGGCACAAAATCACATGTATTGACCTTTTCGAAAACCTAGCTAAACACCGTTTTCCGGTACATTACCGTTTTAGCTCTGGGGAATTACACCAAATGAAGTACATAACACAGTTACGAGATATGTCTATTTTTCTATCAATATTTAACCGTTTAAGGTGAAATAAATTGATGTTTTTGAAAATTATCAATATTCGTTTAATATCTATTGCAAATTATTTAAAAAAAAATTGTTTATAATGAAAATCAATAAAATTCAAACAGACGTAGTGGAATCTTCGATATTAAATAAGGTTATTTTCTGCGTAAACTTGTGTATTTACTTTATTTTTTTATGGAATTATTCATACAATGATATTTAATTATTTTCTTATAAAGAAATAAGTGTTTTATTTCAGTTTAGTTTAAAAAAATGCCGAAAACATTGACTTCGCTATTACGCTCCATTACGTGAATTCCCCAGAGCTATGTACAGAAAGTACCGGAAAACGGCGTTTAGCTAGGTTTTCGAATTCGTGAATTCACAATTCTTTTTCACCCCCACATGACAAGTGATACAGGGATACACAAGGTTACAGTGGGATTCAGTTAATTTCCATCATGTATCATATATTTCTAAAATTAAATAATTTTTTTGACTTTTTTGTTATTTATTTCACCTAGAGAGGAAATATCTACTCTACAGTAGATCTAGTCTAGTAGTCTAGTGTGAACGGAAATGAAATGTCTGTCTACTGTTGCCGTTTGACATTGGGTCCAGTTGACCCTTAGTTTACAGCTTTGTTCATAATTTCATCTGTAACATCAAAATTTAAGACTTGCCTGTTTATCACTTTAACAATATCATTGGAAGCAGCTGATCATTTTCGCTCCGATAGTCGTGATGAAAAAATTTGTGTCATAGATTTTGACCAAATCAAAGTCAGATTAATTGCCGTACTCCGTTATTTTTCCGGGTAAGTTTTAGGTTGAATACAACTAAATAATTTATTTCTAATAAGGTAGGTCATACAGATATATTTCAATAAATTATTTTTTAATTAAATTAATAATGTAGGTTTCAATTATCAAATTAAAGAAAGTTTCTACCGAACACAAAATGTGCATTAGTGGTAAAGAAGGAGAAGTCCGGACAAATTTTAAAAATTAAAATCATACCTCTGACAATTTTAAATCATTGAATCAGCATGCCGACATTTTGCACAACTAGACTAGGTACTGATAAGTCCTATAGTCCGGACAAGCTTCTGTGTAGCTTGCAACATAAAGAACGTTTTTTATTAATGTGTCATATAACTCAATAAAAAAATCATTCAACTAAAAAACCGTGTAATATCCGCAAGTTTTTGAGCTAAAGATCACTTTTATTGAAATTGATGTATTACTTTAATCAGTGGTATTAGAGGCGTAGTCTGAATAATCTTAAAAAATAAAAATCATTTAAGGGCCATAACTCTGACAAAAATCATTGAACCGGAACATACCGACGATATACACAGTTAGCCCTAGTACTCGTCATTCCTGTAAAGTTCGAATGAAATTGCACTAGTTGTTTCTGAGGCGTACGTAGTCTGAAAAAAATTGTAAGTTTCAATTATCAAACCTAAAGAAAGTTAATTTCCACCGAACATAAAATGTGACCTGCCATCCATAAAGGCTCGATCGAATAGGTAAATTTTCCGAAGCTGTGAATTGTTCAAAAATATGTTAATTAGCATTAAAGCTGTGTTTCAGAAAAAAGACCAAGAAAATAAAATAAAACACCCGCGTGAAAATCAATTTTTAATTACCCCACCCACTTTTTAGCATTTAGATTTCAACATAAATAAAATAGTCTTTCTTAAATAACAAACATTACAGAATATGCCTGCTGTTTTTATAACATCAATAAACACCAATCTAACTGTAATGTTACTATTAATTCATTTACTTCTTTTCATAAAAGTTAATCAGAAATTTTTTGTTTCATTTTCTCATAAGTACTATGTTTGCCTTTATTGGTTTGGGAAAAGATGACATTGGAAATGGCACGTTCATGGAGGGTTCATCAAGTTATTTACATACATGTTCAAATAAATACCACGTCCTCTCTCAGGGAGGAATAACCTCTGGGCAACTTGTGAAAGTAGTGGAACTTCCTTACATGCTTTTAAGACCTCTGGAGAGAATGGATATTCTCTCAGACACACACATGACCAGGATTTATACTTGTAAACCTAAAGTGGTGGTACTTACAATCCAATATGAAGGATACTTCAATGTCATCATTTAGACCATTCATTACTCCCCCAGCACATGTACTGCATTAAGTAGTTGTTCTTACTCTGACCACCACAATTGTCACAGTGAAAATGCAACACTTTTGTTTTATTTATATGATAAGTAGCTGATGGTTTGCACCTTTGCAAGTAAGATCACTTGCATCAATCAAATAGTTAACCTGTTTTTGTATGTATTCTCTACAAATTCCAAATTTTCTGGGAGTTTTAAAGTACATTGGACCCATTGATGAATAAAGGAAATCATGAAGAAGGCAATCAATTGAAAGACCTGCACATAAATAATGTTGAAGGGGAAGAGAACCAGCTCTACGGGGTGCAAAATATGAAAAAAATCTTTAGGATAAAAAAGATAAGAAGGGACTCAACAAATGTAATAGCAATAGGACATGTAACAATAAACAAAACATCCATTTTAGGAACATAGACGGGCGCCGCCTTGAAATTGTCTGTAGCAAAAGCATCACTGGGAAGTTTAATCCGGTTCATGATGCACCAAACCTCACACTTAGCCCCAACATGTCCCTTTTTCACAAGACAGTATAAATAAAATGAAGCGGATTTCTAACAGTTGTTATGGTTACAAAGGATGACATAAGTAAAACACAGTAATGATCATGTAGATACAACTCCTCCCCAGACCTCTAACACTACATTCAGATCTGTGACATGTAGTTTAAACCTTCAAAGTGCAAAAGTGGACTTCAAGAAACAAACTATAGTCCGAGCACGATAAACAGAGATTTCGTCAGTTCTAAAAATACAAGCACAGTTCATTAAAAGATTAACACAGGTAAACATAGGTAAACTGCAAGTGATTAACCAAATTGTTATACAAACTTATTATTATCTTTGTTGACTCTATAGCACAGTAGGTAAGACCGCTTATTTATATGAAAATGAATTCAGCTAGTCGGTTCGAAACCCGGTGGATACTGTTTCATTTTTTATTGAAAAAATTATTTTAAGTCTTTCTTTTTTAATTACTTCCTGTCTGGCAAAATAAATATATGGTTACGCATATAAACTTAAAGCAGCATGCCTCCAGATTCAAGCTAATGTTCATGAAAATTTTGAAAATGTATTAAAAAGTAATATAATGCGAAGCAAACAAAGAAAGTAATTTACTCATTGTAAACAGCATTTACAATCCACGCAAATAACCAAAAAGAGGTCAAAATATACATAAATACCTCTTACTGCGTTAGTAACGCATCAATACTGCAAAATTAGTCATAAATCGCACATAACATGTAAATGATTAATTAAATATTGAATCTTTTTACTTCTCTTAAGATCTTAATACATTTTTATAAGATTGAATAATATATTTTGCCTCATCTGGAGGCGTGCAGCTTTAAAGATATTGTATTTTTGTTTCTCATAAAATTTGTTACTATAAATATATATGAAGAAAATTCTGTTTTTCCTGCTCGGATTATACCACTTTTGTTTAATGTCAACAATACAACACTATCCGAAATGGTCCCTTTCACATTCTTTCGACTTATTGTAATGTTATAATCTCCCAACACTACTAAGAGGTTACAACGATTTAAGTGACTATACACCCGTAAATATTTTAGGCAGTCCAAATAAATATATCCGAGATAACAAAAAAAAATTCTGTCATTTTACTGGTTCATAGTATCAGCATTTTATGTTGAAAATTGAAACATATTATATATATATATATATATATATATATATATATATATATATATATATATATATATATATATACAAACACATTCCTCCATTTACGGGGCATCGGTCTATTTGAGACCATACTTGTGGGGTGTATATTTAATGTGGGGCATACATAAGGCCTCGCAACTCTGGCATGTTTAAAACGATGTATGGGGCGTAGGCTACCCTTCTAACATAGTGCCCGTAGGCGGGTTTTAGTAGTAAATGATATATGTCCCACAAATGTATATATTTTTAATGGGGTTTTCTGTTATTGGTCAATATGTTTTCACCTATGGTAAAATCAAATATATAGTTTATATATATAACTAAGTACCCCTTAGTTCTGTTGTATGGAAAT